CATTTTATAAAATTGTAACTAAAGTTTACGAATCATTTTTTTCTAATATGTAATAATTTCACCTCGCTATAAGGTAAAGTTGTCTGTTATATTTTGTAATATATTACAAATTGCAATAAAAGTTTATTCGTGACGCATAAATCTTTCGATTGTTGCTCGAGGTACGGGAAGAAGTACTGCAAGAGACAAGAGGCTCGAACTCGCTTCAAGTCGCTCAGAGTCGCTCGGTCATGGGCCTACCATAACGGTACCCAGCAGCGTAATTTGGGTAGAGGCTCCCATCGACATATACAGGCTCGGTTCATCGCCTGCTTATACCCTTCGTGCGTTTCGATGTACGCGATGCGATATGCTTGGGTAATGTCTTTACATCAATCGGTCTGTACTTACACGACTTGCGGGGATATAAATAAATATCCGGGGTTACCGCCCTCTTTCATTCTTGCGCATTCTGGAAAATTATAATTTAATAGGATTTTATATCCTTCAAAGCGAGTAGTTGCGGATTCGGAGATACAGACGGTTCATTCGCCGATAACAGGCTGTCTGTATTCTCACTGTTTTAAATAAAACAAAATTTTTTTTTCAAAATATTCTAGTAATATCAAGTTTAATAATAATAATTATTAATGTATCATGAAACATAATACATATTTTACAAAGCAGAACGCAAATAAATTCATTCTGTATGTGATCGTCTCACACACCCATATTAATATGTTTAAAATTTGATATTGAAAATGAAGGTGTATTTATATAGAGATAACAAATTGATATCTTTAACATTTTGTTACTTTTAAAAAAATTTAATTAAAATAATTGCTCCAACTAAGACGTATTTTATTCAAAAAGATTGTCTTTTAGTATAAAATGCAGAGAAATTTATATGTATTATTATTTTAATAGCTAAAATTTTACAAGTAATAAAATTGGTTAATAAATTAAATCCATTATTGAATTAAACAATATTGAATTTATAATTATCATATTTCTTCGAAGTATCTTTATTTTTAAATTTATTTGTTAATCAAAAATTCAATAAAGTTTGTATTGGTCATTGGTGATATGGGCCTGTATTGTTTAACTATATTCCGAACAGCAGAGCAGAGAGGACTCAGATGATTGATTTTACTGGCACAGAATTGATCCTGTTTTAACAAGTAACGAACTGCATTCGTATATTTCGTTTTTTGTTCCCGAATTTATCACAATCAGAATTGTATTTTTATAAAATCCAATGAGAAATGGAGAAAGATTGGCGTAATTGAGTAATGTCTGTACTAAAGGATAATGGAATATAACAAGAAATAATTATGTGCACGGAAAGAATTATTTGCAATGTAAAATTTGTATATTACAATTTTAACGGCCACAATTTTTAAATAATAACATTGAAATGTACATTGGGGGAGATAGCTACGTGAGAAACCGCTGTATATCTACATTGTGAATTTATTTTTACGTGACGCTAAATCTTTCTCTATATATATATATATACACACATATGTATATGCATTTACATTGCATGTCACTGCAGTGTGACGCCTTCATTTTTCGATATCACGACATGGCTACTCTGAATTTTCATAGCGATTTGTGTCATGAATTTTCATAGTATCTCGTATCATTTTACCCCACGGAAAAATACGACACAATGCCACGTGAAGCTGGTTCTCATCTATCAATCTCGCACGGTTGGAATTCTCTCTTACATGTGCCTCAATTTACTCCGATTTTCACCGGCTACTGAAACTCGTCGCCGTGCTTCGCCAACGCCGAAATTTCGTCCACCCGTCCGCGATAAAGATAAAGAAAAATGGAGAGGCATGAGGACAAAGACGGCGAGAGCGGGCGCGCACGAATGCGTGGAGGGATCACGTGCGTGCGTGCGTGCGTGCGTGCGTGCGTGCGCGCGTGTGGTGTACGTTCAAGAAGGTTCATTGACCCCCTCGCTTTTGTTCGTGTACCGAGCGGCGAGCTTGTCGGCGCTTATAGTTCGCCGAGCGGGGCGATGGGCGCGCAGGCCCATCGGGGCCCGCGCGGGGAACCGCGGCATCGGGCACCGAAATCTGCCTCATGGTCGTGCCCGGTTAGGTAATCGATCGCAACGCCCTTAAGTTTACCAAGGTCTTTGCCACCTGTCGCAGGAAGAGAATCTCGCTTTTCATTACCTGCCCTTCCCTTCGCTCGCGTTCCCTCCTCGTTATCCTCCCCTCCCTCTCCCCCTCCCCCCACTTTGCACACTGCTCGTTCTTTTTTTCTGTGTTACTCAATTTTCGATTGCGTAATACTTCTCGGGATAATAGATCCTAACGTTTCACAACCTTTTCTTGGTAATTTTAAATTCGTTATTTTTTTTTTTCATATTCTACAATTCGTTCGTTCTTTAATTTTTTTAATACTTCTAAAAGCATCGGCTATTGTATATTTTGTTTTGTTTGCCTTATCATATGATTTTTCATTGAAATGACCACGTATAGTTATTGCTTTCATCAGTGTAATTTGACGCGTTACATCTGCTTTCGCATGCATTCCTTTAATATCAACTCATCTATGCTTTGTCATGTAATTTTTACACCTACTACACCACGGGACATGATTTATTATGCTTCTATTATTACCTTTACATTTCTGATTTCTCCCTTAGATATTATTGCTTTACATTCGATTTTTCGCGACGGGATTTTGTCATATATTGCGATAAAAAATTCATTCGTGTAAAAGATTTTACAATTTTATTTCAACTGTTGTGGATTTATTTCAATTTTTACAATTTTTTCTTAACGTTCCTGAAGTATTAGATTACATAAATAAATTATTTAAATGTTTCGACGAAGGGTGGACAGCTTTAATCGGTATTTCTAAAGTTAATCTCACTAATATTTCATTTAATCCGATTCAAGCGATCCTGTATAACGGACTCTCCATTATCATGGATAAAATTACCGTCGTTTAAACATTATCGTATTTCATTTGATTTTCCGATGATTTGCGAGATAAGACTACATCGCGATTAAGGATGTTAATATAATTTGTACGATAAAAGAATTATTCGTCTATTAATTATTTATATTCGTAATATGCGATATAAATAAATGGTTTAATAATATATTTTACGATTAAAATCAATCATTTGATTATTAATTAATTCCGTTTGTTGTATTTTTCAAACAATCAAATTGATGATTTCTCTGTAATGAAGAAAATTAAATACCGAGACGGAATTATTTGTTTTTGGTTAATATTAGTTATTGTATGTACTCAAAGAGAATATTTATTCAAAATTATATTAGCTATAATCTATTAGTGGACATAGTGCTATGTCGTAATTATCAGGGATAAATTTTACATGTATAGAGATGTTATAGATGTATAAACTTAAAAGATATATTCTAGAACTGTAGCTATTAAATGACAACTTAAAAATTACACTTTTCGTTTAATTAGTTTTTTTTTTAATATTTAAAACGTATATAATTAACAACTATATTTGTCAAATTAAGAGATTTAGAGTTATGTTAAATTGAACAAATTTAATAATGCAACATTACCGCTGGATATTATACATATACATATATCGGACTTTCCTTCCTAGTTAATAATTGAAGGAAATTTGGTTATTCGCGAGAAAGAGTAACAGGTATTAGAGCGAGTAATCTCGGAAAGTCGATGCCGACGATCACGGATGGGACGAAGAGATTGAAGAGCGCACACTCGACGGATCTCTCGGAGGCAGAAGAGCGTCGCGGATTACGCGACCGCGTCGTCAGTGTGTTACTGACCTCGAGTGACCCTGCCATCGTGACCGCAACATCGCGTACTGTTACCTTCTGCGAACGAGCCTATTTTCCCCTAGTCAGTATTCCTTTTCATTCTGATTAAATATTCTTTTCTGTTACTACCCTACCCTTTCACGAAATAATTCGAGATTGACTCGCTGCCTTGGTCCCCCTTCCTCCCGCTCTCTTTCTCCAAAAAGAATGGAGCAACCGCTTTGTATAAATCGAGGCAGACTCAAGGAAGAATAGAATATCATGGAAACTTACTCATTCGTTTGTCAAGGTGCTGTGTATGAGACAGTCTCCTCTTTAGCGTCACTGTTATTCTTCACGACGTATAAACATAGAGATTGCAACATTAACTTTAGATTTAGCAAAATAAAAGAAGTTAGACATAATTTATACGTATTTTAAATACGACTAAAAGATAAGAAGCTCACTAAAAGCAGCCACGTACTTTATAAGATAGACATTAAATTGTCACGCAATCTAAAAGTATCTATGAAAGGATAAATGTGATCCACTTGATCATCGTGTCTCAAAAAAGGAAATGTATGATGCAAATTATTAGATATTGCAAGGGATGATCGTTAATTTGTCATCTCGGGAATTAATACGTCGGGAACGGATTCGTTAATAATTTTGCGATATGTGAGAGAATGTTTGACAAATGTTTAACCTTTCCGTAGCGGTCTTGTTCTGTTAATTACGTTACGATTTTTACGAAATAAGGTGAAATTGTTAGTGCATATAATTACGTAATATACAGAATAAATTTTTTTTGTTATTAATTTTATAAAAAAAACACGGGGTGTCTTTCCTGCTAAATCAATAGTCCGTAGTGAAAGGGTTAAAGCGCTAAAAGGATCGATGCCGCGTGAATCTTTGATAGCGCCCATTAAATCTACACACACGGATTCGTTTTTATCTCTTGTGAGACTCTTTCCGCAAAGTCTTTATCCTATTACGCCCGGAATAAGTATTATCGTAATATACTAATATTACACGCTCGCGAAAATATTTGACCGAGTAAAATTTTACGTAACAACTTGTGACATTTTATAATTGTTTTATAATTGCCTTTTCGCGTCATTATTATTAATAGAAATAAATTATCGCAATTAGAAAAATGTCTGTACTGTATCTTACAACACGTAGTCTGACGAGGTCTGACTTGAACACAAATCTTTTTCATAAACTGACTCATAATATGTCACTCACCTCTTATCGTGCTAGGCATCTTGTCCGAGATCGCATATCCTGGTATCCACAACGGCCGCCTCTCCCAAAAATCGCTCTTATCTCACCTCGACTCTCTCACTATCACCCACTAAGTAAATCTATTAATCACTAGATGCGCACGTGTTAAGATTCCCGTAGCTTCTGGTCCGTCTTTTCGTTCGATTTCTCACCGGTCATTCAATCGCATCCATATTCCTCCGTTTTTCACGGGATCACAAATCAAAGAACGCGCCTCCGCCACATAGCGATGTCGAGCGCCACGACGCTCGATGCAGGATCGATCAGGGCACTGTCCTCCACCTATGATTTCTCTGACTTTTATTCTCACACATTCGATATTATTCTTCCCTTTCTTCTCTGTAATTCGGCCGATCTCGGAGATACGAATTCTGACTGAGGTGGCCACGGTTCTATATTCCTTCAGGTTCTCCACACACAAAATCAAAAAGTTGACCCTTTTAATTAATTACTGAACACTAACTTGGTGAATTGTACGGTCACAAATTTTGTTTGCAGATCGTAAAATCAATTTTAAGTATCGATTTGGATTACAAATCGTTCGGAAGTGAGTTCGTCGCTCCTCGCGGATCCGTTTCCGCGTCGTCACTGCCGACAATGACGCTGCTGCCTTTGAAACCGGAACTGGCTCGATTACAATCGACAAATCGCAACAGCTGAATGAAAAGTCCAACGTAGATTGCGATCGAGTCTTTTGATCCTTCGCACTCGAGTCAATGTGATACGTTGTGCCGCGAAAGCTGAACCCGTTACTCCGATCCTTACTTGCTGTAATCACACTGTAATCCCAAATTTATACACTTGTAGTGCCCGATGAATTCTTGTCGTGATTAATTCTTTCCGTATAAGAACTATTTCTTGATGCAGTCATCCATCAGATATTATCTTTCTTCATCTTCTCATCCACGTGTCTTTCATCCTCTCCGGGAAGTTGGATCTTCACACACGCGATCAGGAGACGGCTCTCTCTCTCACTCTCCTCTTCAACGTCGGCACGGCTAATAAAACCGCCGCGGTCGGCCGCGATCACCCTTATCTCCCACTTTTTTTTTTGTTGGTACTGCCAGGTATCTTTAGACGATCGTTTTCGGAACTTTTTCTACCTCTTCCTATTTCCGTCTCCCTCGCGTGTTGCTATGCGCGACGTTACCGTTTTCCGTTCGGTTCTACCTGTACACCTTGAGGTTCGGCGGTGGTCCGGTGGTGGTAGCTGGTGAGTGACTCTACCGCAGAGATCCACAGGTGCTCGCGCACGGTGCCGCTCGTCATCGTACCCTCACCACCGTCGGCTGCCGCCGCCGCCGCCGCCGCCGTCGCCGCCACCGCCACCGCCACCGCCGCCGCCGCCGCCGCCGTCACCCTGCCCCCTCTACATGGGTTCACCGGTTCACTCTGCTGCCTCCACCACCGGTTCGTCGTCGTTCGCGTGCCCCTACCAGACAAGCGGTAGCATAAAGCGGACGGTCTTTCTTCATCCCCCACCAAAGTCTTCCTCTCTGTGGTCCTCTCCTTGTGTTTTTCCTCCTCTTTCTCCGTCCTCTTTGTGCCTCTCCGTCTTTTTTCGCCTCCTTTTTCATCCATTTTCTCAAGTCTTGCTCCCGCCCCCCTTCCCTCTATGTTTTCCTCATACTTTCATCTTCCGTCCTCTCGTCTTTCTATTTTTTTCTTTCTTCATGGCTTTCAACCTACGCTGATCTTCTTTTATTTTTCTTACGTCCACTTGCTTCTTTTCTTTCCCATTGGTTTCACGCACGTTTCGATATTGCTTTTTCTCCTTCTTTCTCCTTTTGTGTTACGTTCCTCTCTATTCTTTCATTTCCGTGTGGTTCTACCACTTCATTCTCTTCATCTTGAGGCCTCGCCGCCTCCGCTTTGCCGTGCACGCGGATCTCTTCCGTGACGAGAGTCACTCGGTCGCGCCGTTCACCGTTATTCGCCCGTAGGGTGCCACCCTCTTTAAGTCTGGTATCCTGCCGGATCCGGTGTGTATTGAGCACGCGGGAGCGGACTGATCAGAGATATTCAGATATATCAGATATTAGATTCTTAATATGTATTTAACAAAATAAGACAGCATAGTGATAAAGTTCAATGAGAAATCGATCTTATCATATTAAGCTATACTTTATAAACTTCTAGAGATTTGATTTAATTGGCCTATATAGACGTTATTAATAATTAGACTATAAGATTAAGTGAATAGACACAATTGTATGTACATTAAATAATTTTTTATTAAAACAGAATGTTATTAAATATTGTATTTAATTTATGTAATTAAATATTGTTTAAAAAACTTATATTAAAATATTTTAATATAAATTTATAATAATTTTGCTTTTGATTAGTTTTCTTATATATGTATTATAAGTATAAAGAATATGTGGGATATTTTTTTAATATGGAGTTTCAGTATTCGAAGAATTATAACGACATTGAAATCATGCACTCTGAAAGATGATTAATTGTCTCGTGTAGATTCCTCTTACAATTCCCGTTACGGATAATTTCGTCGTGAGAAAGTTTGAGAAGATTTATTACTTAATTTAACCTATTGTTGCAAGAAATTAATGTTTAAAAGAAAAAATATGTATGAACATTAAAATATATAATAAGCATTAAATTCTTATTAGGTCTAGCTAAAGAGAGAACTGTATGTAAGAACTTTATTCCAATAACTTTGAGATATTTGTGGAACATTTTTTATTGTTACAATACAATCGAAAGTAGATTGACTATATTGACTATATTTTCGTTAAAAATATATAATATGCGTTGAAAGTTATATGGAAAACTTTTCAAAAACATCAAAAATTACTTTAATAATAAATATATAAAAAACAATTAAAATAATATATTATTTTTTTTTTTTCTATGCATTGATGAAATCGTTTTGATATATTTTTAATAGATGTTAAAAGATGGATTTTAAGGTACCCGTACAGGTAATAATTGAATGGGTTTTGTGTCCGTATACGATAGGATCTGCGTAACCTACCTATTAGGAAACCATTTATATGAATAACGTTGAGTGAGAGAGGGAGAGAGGGAGAGAGAGAGAGAGAGAGAGAGAGAGAGAGAATGTTTCATGAAATGTATAAAACAAGATTGCCCAAAATTCACAAATTAATTGTACTTTTTAAATATATCTAATAATAAGATGTATACTTAGATTTAATTCAATTTAATAATTTGAAGTTAATAGTTAGTAAATTAGTTCAAATAGTTAGTAAAGTTAGTCAATTGTTGAAAACCACATTGTATATGCACAATAATATTGATTTTTAATATTTTTAATATTTTCTGAATTTATTTTTATAGTACTTCCCGTATTAAGAAGTAATCCCCCCTTCCTTATCTATTTTTCTTCAAGAAGACTAAATTTCATTTTTTATCCTCGAAGGTGTTTGATACTAGAAATATCAGAATGACGTAACAAAGAAGATATTTCAATGACAAAGGAGGGATCGAGATTTGCTGAAATCGATTCGTCGCGTCTTCCATACCCTTGAATGCGCGATTATCTCGAGCCCGAGGAATCGCTCGGACCGTGCCCGCGGTCGTCCGCTGGCCGAACGTGAATATTCCGATGGTCATTGACCTCAGGCCGGTCTTTGGCGCCAAACCCAAGGCTAGCCCGACTCTCGTAAAATGCTTGCTACCAGATATTTAGTTATAGATCTTCATAACCGTGCCTCGGCATTTTTTGAGGCTGAAAGCACAATGAATTTTCTAGCTGTTCGAGCATTCGCGTTAGTACGATGCTTCAATTCTTTTCCGATTTTATTTATCCATGTTCGCGCGAGGTATGCATTGATATCGATCGATTTTCGATATTGTCGATGTTGCATCGAGAGATTGCATGTGTAAATTGAAAATTTATTCGACGCTTAGACTATGCTGGTAATAGAATTTTATATATGTAAAATCGCTATTTATACCTTATCTTTTATATAGGTTAAAAAAATTAATACTTTCATTTTTTCGAGTATAAGAAAACAATTACATTACAGTAACTTGTTATTATTATTACGCGTTGTTTGCTGAATCTTTATATGCATTGAGAAAAAGTGTGGTATTTGTGATTATAATGATGATAAAATAATTATAGTGAGACGTTCCATTTACATAGTATATATTACTGTTATTTTATTGCATACATAGTATATATTACTGTTATTTAATTATATATTGCTGCTTTAATATGTTAATAATAATCATAATTATATGTATTCTACTAAACAAATGTATATTTGATACAAAAATGACTATACATTTTAGTTAATTTATGATAATTGCAACCTTTTTTTAGTGTGTGTGTCTTAAAAATAGTGAATAGTGAAAAAACATAATAAATAGTGAAAAAAAATCAGGTGATGTAAAAAAAACACAGCTGCTTTTAAAAAAGTTATGCAATAAGCAATTGCACATTTTTAAAAGAGAAAATATTAATTTTCAAGCTGACGGTTGCGTTGCCGATGGAGAATTTTCGATTTTTCTTGCGACCGACGTGGGTGCGTCGCCGATGTATGATGTTACCAGAAGCGACAATCGATTTGAGCCGCGCGCAACCCCACGGTAGCGAGTTGGCGGCGCGTTATTGGCGGATCTTTCACAGGAAAGTCTCATCGGGTCGTTCGAAGGTGAAGGTCTTCCTCTCTTTGATTCCGCTCTGGGTGCCGCCCGCGTTGGTTTCTTCTTTCGACCAGCGCGGTCGCTGGTCCTTTTATGCAAACGATGAATAAGGATCTTAATACGCGGTTAGTGCCTTAATTTTGTAGAAATATTCACACACAGCGCGTATAGATATATTCAAATTTATGAAACTCTCCCGTGGAGGGCCTACATATTTTATTGATAGCTTAAAATTCAATCACGCCGTCAGATTGAAGTGAGAATTTCTCGTGATCTCGAGATCTAACAATAATCCGTTTTTTGACATTTATCTCGATTGCAAATCTGGTTTGCAAAAGTTCAAGACATGCGCGTTGCAGAGACTCGCGTGCTCGAGAATCGCGTGTGGCAAAGGTATACATTTGTTTAAATACGAACGCGCGCGCGCGTGCGGAGCTCGCTCAAAATCGCGTTCGTGCGAAAGTTATGCCTCGTGCGAGATATGTGCATACGTTCATATAAACACGCCCGCAGCTATGCGATTGCAAGAGTTCTCCAAACAGCCGCGCTCATAAAGCTCGCTCCCCTCACGGACATGCGCGCACTGCACGGGGGCTATGCGCCGTTGAATCGGATCGCGCGCGCAAAACCTTGCTTCTCGCGCGAGTAGGCGTGCGGGAGAGCAAAGAGGAGAACGCCGGGCCGCAACCGCAGCACGGATGCCGCGTGAGCGAACGAGCGGCTCGCAACGGTAAAACGTAACCGTTGTGCCCCCGACTGCGAAAATTGTGATGAGGAGGAGCGGGCGGAAGGGGGAGGGAGGGGGGGCACGACTGCACGATGAGAGACGCGAGGGAGAGGAGGAGGGAGGCGAGAGATCGGCGATGTAACACATAGCGGTACAGCATCCCCACCGTCGGTGAAATCATCCTCGGGGTTCACGGACAGTCGTAATTCGTGGCTATCGCGCGTACGGAGCTCGTTTTTTAATTTTCCGTGGGATACCGTGACCGATAGGCTCGGGAACCGGTATTTTATGATAATATCGCGCTGTATAGAGCGCGGTAGAGCGCCGTTGAGCAATGATAATCTGTTTATTTCTCTTCGGTACGCCGCAACCGTGGTAACGTTTCAGATGTCAGCAGCACTTAGGCTTTGCTTTCTTTCTCTTTCTCTATAACTCTCTTTCAATATATACAATTTAAAAGTTCCAGAAGCTTTAAAGAATTTGTATTTTATGACTCGTATATTTTATGACAAATTTAATTTTGAACATATAATTTGACATAAAGAGAGCAAAAGGTAAAAGTTAATTGTAAAATCTTTGCATATAATGCAACTTTAAAAGAAGAATTTCTTAATTAATAAAACGTATGAGGAATTCTTTTGTTAATAAGAATAATATTTTTGAGAATCTTTTTAACAATGAGTTATATCACGTTAAATTTATTACTGTCAATTTTTGAGAAATTTTACACTCTAAAATTTTGTTATAATAAAAGCAATTAAAAAATTATTTTAATTGTTTTTATTATAATAAAATTATTATTTTATTAGATTCATTATTTGAA